GACGAGGCGTGGGAGCTGTGTGGGTGACGGGTACGCGGGGAAGTCGGATGAGCGTGAGGAGGGGCGATAAGGGGAACGCGGTGGCGACAGAAGGAGTCGCCGCACACCGCGAGAGGGCTTTCACTTTCGCACCGGGAGCGGGCCCAAGGAGGCGTGGAAGCAGGAGGACGGAGCAAGCGCAATGAACGAAGGAAGGGTAAAGAGGGGCGCCTGCAGACGACACGCGGTTAGATGTACTACTGCGGGGAGATGCCGCTGCCGCCGCATAGCCGCCGCCACCACTTCCGCCTTGCCTGCCGCAGCGGCGAACCCAGGCCTCTCAAGGAAACCTTCAACGCGCACGCCCGCCCCCATGCCGTGCCCGCGACGCGCCATCTCGTTACCGCTCGTTGCCTCGTGGAAGTGCGTGCTGATTCGTTCGCGGAAGGACGCCAAAGAAAGGTGTTTCTCGGAAAGCAAATGTGCGGCGGGGACTGCTGGTGGAATTGAGTCTTGATTTCTACTTCACGAATGATTACGTGCGTCCTAATTTGTTTGGTTGTAGGAAAAATATGTCACAGAAAATAAGAACATACCATGAATGAGAGATAATTACGTGATTGACGAAGTTGTTAATAACCCAACAAATCGCATTCAAACTGTTGGAACACTGTTTTAGTCAGGCGGAATCAATTAAAACTGATATAGAAGTAATACAATTACGTTACAAAGAGACAAATAACACATTTGTGACCTTAAATGCTAAATGTCTCCGATGCCGTCGTAAATACTACAAATACAAAATTAATAAAATCATACAATTCGATTTCGTCAATTGGCTTCTGATGTGATGACAACCAATTCCATTATTTTAGAATCAACATCACATTGTGTAGAGCACTCAAATATAATTAGTCATGTATTCGAAAATTGAAAATTTCGTGTATATCTTGAATACTCAAACATTTAATGAAAACTAACATTTCGTGTAGGTCTAAATTGATTTGCATGAATCCTTACTCATTTTTAAGAATTTTTTATAAGGAAACAGAAATAATAAATATCTTAAAATCAGCTATAATAAATAGCACTATTTGCTTGTTACTGCATTCAGATATCAATTGAAGCGTATTTGCGTTTTCTGGGGCCTCTCCGGAAAAGTAAACGCTCCTCTGTTTTTGTCACAAAAGAAAACAGAGAATGTGAATGTGATCGCGTAGAAGGTAGTAAAGGTCTTCACTCGGAGGCTTCCTCAACCATCCCTCAATATCGATTTTCTTTCGTACTTGCCGCTAACTCTCTTGCGTCTTTGCCTCGGCGCAATTCCTTTTCAATGTTTCTTTTTCGGAAAGGCGACAAAATTTTACCTACTTTACTTCTGATCTGTCACTAAGGGAAACGTATTTGGAAGTTATGCCGAATTCCCAAGAGTCTCCTTAGCAGGAATAATTGTGCTGTTGAAACAAGGTAACTAGAGATGGGCTCATACCTTCTTTTCCCTAACAGATCGATAAACACAGAGAGGAATATCGAGCTTACGAATCTATTTTGAGAACTTTTCTTTGGTGACGGAACATCGTTCTTCATCGTTCCAGCTCTTAACGCTGTGTCAGAATACGTACAATCGCTTTTGTACCGCTATTACATTGATGGAACTCTACTGGAACGTTATGAACTGTCGTGGCGAGTATTGATCCTCAAATAATCATAACCTAAATAAGAGAAAGAGAATAAAAGTCAATGTAAAATGTATTCAGATGAATGCAGCAGTTTGAATCGAGTCGGCGGAAGTGCATGATTTAAAAAATGATATTAAGATACATGTAACTTTAAAAGAAAAACTCATTTTTAATGTTACTTCTTACATCTACGACATTTTTGACCTCCAAATGTTTAATATTGTCTAGGAAGCGTAATTAAGTTACTATTACGTCTTTTACGTCTAACTAAAAATTAAAAATTTTCCCCATTTTCGTGAATTAACATTTTCGTAATATTTCCTAAAATTGTGAATTTCGAATTTTATAATATTAAATTTCCCAAAACTTTTAACACAGGCCTGCGATAAAAAAAAATTTTTGCAAATTTCAACTGTTCCTTGTGTATTTCTGTGCACTGAAATCGATAATATAACGAGAAATACTCAATCAGCAACAGTTTTTTTGACAAATTGACCATAATTGCGCAGTAAGTCACTGGCAAATTTCTGTTTTTAGCATACAGTGTAGTAACGCCATCTATGAACTGGGGATAGAATTTGCAGTTTTCCTCAGCTATAAACTGGTGAAACAATTTCTGCAGTTTTCCCTCCACAGGCAGTATGTACCTGTTTCTGGTATAAGATGAGGGTGTAAACTACGGACGTCCAAGATCGATGCGCAAAAGAATTGGAATGGTAGGCGACTGGTTTCTCTGAAGAAAGGCAATTACTGCTTTCGAAGTACAATCTCTCAGAAAGTGGGAACGTGAAAAATTACTAGGAACCATCATATACAATTATTGAGGTGACTTTCGTCCGATTGTTGATGCGAAAATTGATAAGTTAGTATTTAGTGTTAAAATTTATCTCTTGCACCCCTTTAATTTAGTAACTCATTTTTTTTTAAATCTCAAGCGTCGGATTCTGGTATTTGGAAGGAAGAAACCCTTCCTTAGTGGAATGTTCGTGTCATTACGAAAGTGTGAGATCGTATATTAATTCTTTTTTCAAATTGAAAAATATTTAGTTTTTTTCAGAACAAAAAAATCACATGCTATTTATTCCCTGAAAATCTCCATAGTTTTTTTAAGGACGAAAATTTATTAAATAAATGGAATTATGTAAAATTATGTATTTTGTGTGTTGGTTACTCATATCATACAGAACAACCTATTATAATTTCTTAATATAGTATTGATAATTTTCGTCTGTAATCATTAGAATGGTACGGTAATTTATTACTGTAGTGTTTTTGTTACGGTAGTGTTTTTGTTTCGGTGGACACAAATATGGTACCACAAAACGCCCTTTCGCGGAGTTCGGATGTTTTACAAACAAATTTCCAATTCTTGTCGAACTGTTTATTCAGATACAAAATAAAACCATCTGATTTCTATCTCTTAGTCTCCAAGCGTACACCAGTTGCAAAGAAACCATTGTGAATTAATAGTACCCTGGAACTTGCTCTCCTAAGTAAGGTGGCGTCGGAAGTCGTTCATGTTGCTGAAAGAAACGTTTTCCGGTGAGTAACAAAAGTGTCTCGCTGGGAGCGTCTCAACGAATTGTCATTTTCCATTGGCGTTGTTGCGTTCCCCAATCTCAAACGGCTCGTTGACTCCCATTTGTTCGATTTAACCTCCATGCCTACGGGAACGGTCTTTTATTTCGAGCGTTTCCGAACGGTTACCAGAGCGATAAACGTCTATTTCCATACAAACTTGCCCGTAGAGAGGGCGGTTACCATTTTCATGCTTTCAAGTTCAATTTCCATGATTGCAGTGGAAAGCGACTGGCCAAACAAACAGACGTGTTGTCAATTTTATGGATTTGTGTATGCCAACTCTAGGTGTGGAAAAAATCAACTACAATATTTGTCAATACTTCAGCAATGATTTTTGTATTGGATGTTTAATTAACACATGTTTACCGAAGTTTATTGTAATTCTTCAATCAAATTATGTGATTTAATTTTAATTCATCTTTAAAAATTGGGACAAGAGATGATAGAAAATTAATATTGGCTGAGAAAGATTAATTATTAGTCAAATGTAAACAAGAGAAATACAAGTATATATTTCATAACAAATCTAAGGACAAAATGCATGCTGTTGTATTGTAGGAGACTCATTAATTATATTTAAAAAATAGATAAAGATTATTGCAGGTTTAACTTATTATTTATTTGATAAGAGGAAATTGTCAATAAATGGTTTCTACAGCATCAGCAAGGAACTTCTAGCTCTTTCCTTTCTCTTTCTCTGGGCTAGGGGTGAGTGAGCGTCCCTTTGAGCGAACCACCCTTCCCTCAGGGCTTTCCTTTGACCTGTAAACCTCTGGCAGTCCCACGAGCTCTGCAGAGGTCCACACGAGCCTGTATGGCTCGCCTGAATGGGCCGCGGTTCATACATACTTACGCATCGGTCGTAACGACCGTCGTCTGCCATGCGTCACTGCGAGAAACTGTGATGTCTCAAGGCAACCGCAGGAGCGCAATGCTGCAGCCCTAGAGACCCGCACAACAGAGAAGTAAGGAAGAGAATAGGGAGAAGGGGAAAGTAGACATGAAGGGTGGTGGGGGAGTGGAGGTTAAAGAGCTGCGAGGGGAGGGAGGGGTTGAGGAAAGTACACGAAATGGATGAGAATTGAAGAGGATAGTGACTGAGTATTCAGTGTTTCCGAGCGCCTCAACTAATTTGGTCATTTGTCCCGTGAGCTTCTTATAGGTGGAAGGGGGAGGGGTGTTCCTTCTCCGCTCAAACGCGAGACCCACCAACGACCTACACGTCGCAATATAATTTTTCCTTCTCAATTTACTTCTACGTTTCGAGCTGGAACCAGCTCCAAACTGACCTCCCGAAGTAATACTTGAAGTACACTACCCACATGTGAGGTAGTGTAATGCATGTATTGAAAGCACGTGTGCGTATAAGGAGGGTAGGGAATAAAGATGCGGAAAGATATTGACACACGGGCTTGTGTCCCGTGTCTTATATATTGATCCCATATTTTTCCTCTATTGATTAGAGAAAACACTGAAAAATAACGCTTAGAGCAGCTAGAATTCTCCTCTAGACACTTTAGTTCGACCTAGCCATAAAGCAAAAATTGTTTATCATCGAGTCTCGAAGGTTAGAACCTCCCTGAGGAGAAAAAGATTAAATACGGTTGCAAATGTGAGACAAAAGTGGGCAAAAACAAGCGACATGCAAGGAACGAAAATATGAAGCGAGACGCGAAGCGATGATTGATTCGCGTCTCCAGAAGCGTCGTTAGTTCCGCAAGCGTAGTGCATGTTTCATCACGGGAGGTGGTGGCGATGATCTTTCACCGCTGGATGGTGAGATCTGGCTGGTATCCACCCGTCGGCTTGCCGTGTTTTCCCCAAGTAGATATCTTCCACAACGAGGCACCGCCGCAACCGTTGTAAGCTCTAATCTCCCAACTGGTCTCCCGAGGCGTGTGGTAGTGTAGTGCATGTAAAAATAATGTGTCACATAGCAAAGAGCGGAGCAGTGGTGGCGGGGGGACTAATGGATTGATTGATACTGATTATAGGCGCGTAACGGCCAAGGTCATTGGTCCCTTAAGTGTAGTGCATGTTCCCCCTCGGGAGGTGGCGGTGATATTCCCCCGTTGGATGGCGAGATGTGCTCCCGACCGGTCTAGCGGCATGTGCGGTAGTGTAGTGCATGTTAGTGTGTGTGTGTAAGTAAAGGGTGAGGATAGAACAAGAAAGAGGAAGGAAAGATCGCGCGCGGTCCCTTTCCCATATGTTAGCGTACTGTTCCGACATTCGCCTGGTGCAGATTGGAGACACCACAGAAATCAACCAGTCACAGCAGAGAGCTTCTAGAATTCTCTTCGAGACGATTTGACCTAGCTGCCAAGCTAGTGTCGAAAATTCTGCCACCGTCGGGACTCGAGTAAAGCTGGAGGAAACCCAGAGAGCGGGGTGGGCGAGGAGGGCGAGGAGGGCGATGAGGAGTCGCGGTCGGTGGTGACGCCCTCTCCGTCCCTGGCGACCTCGGCGCCGGGCTCAGCCGCGCTGCGCGTATTTGCGCGTTCTTTGCTGGCGTGAACAAAAGAACGCGTAATGGAGAGGTCGTGTTTCGTCCGTGAACCGGTAACGTCGAGTAAGCCGTACAACGCGTTCTCTCGACATTCGATTATTCGACGGCCGTAGTCGAAGGGCGAGGCCACTGCGCTACTGTATTCATGTTGTGTCCGAAAGTTGCGATGAGATCGAAGCGAGGTGAGGCCATGAGACGGTATACGAGTGTCTATCTAAAAATAGAGCCGTTTTCTCGAATATAAATTAAAGTGCAATTAGATTAAAAGATGGGCGCTCCGAAACACAATTTACCGTTTCGGGGATTATTCTGTTTTAAAATGCTTCATTAAGAGGAACAAGATTTCTAGAGAAAATGTTTTAAAGCATTTCTGAAAGAGAAGCTTCATAAAATGAACATTAAGCACTCAATTCGGTTACTTTACTGAGACTGGTCTTCACCCATCTGTTAAAAAATTGTATTATTATTGGATGGTTGAAATAATTTATATATATATATATATATATATATATATATATAATTATATAAAACACATGCTATCACACGTGTTTCGTTTTGTTGAATACGTGAGGGAAATAAATTAACGCTAGATTTACTTGCTTCCAGTAAACACGTCCTTAAAATTTCTAATTATTCTTGTTTATGAGATTTAAGCTGATAAGGACATGTAATTATCACCTACGTATACACAAGCCAGGTTTCCATTAAAGAAAATTATCTATTAAAAGATGAGAGTTCATTTATGGAAAGAAATTACAATGTTGGCATACTTACAGAGGCAGTTAGCATGCCATATTTCTCACTTTAATGGTATAGTTTAATTTTTGTTGCAGCAATTTGAAATTAAGTGTTCATGAAAACACCCCGAAAAACCTCTTCGGCCTTATCCTACTTGAAAAGGATTTGAAACCCACACAAAGAGTCGTTACTTCTCCTTCCCAACCGAAATTGTGCCAGCTGGGGAAATTTTACAGGCAGATCCCTCTTCAAACGAAAGAAACTGGGTCGTTTGGGCGAATTTGAAAGCCGATACTCTCTTCGGGGAGGCGACGCAGGCCGCCAGGGGGGAGGCGGAGGGCGAATAATGGGTGGGCGGCGGAGGAGGCGGGGCGGGGCGGGGCGGGGCGGAGGAAGGGGGCGCAGCTTATCCAAACGGCGGTCGTTGGGTCGGGGAGCAACTGGTGGGATGGATTGCGATAGGGAAGGAGTAGGGCAGTGGGCGAGCGGGGTGAAGACGAGGGGCGGGAGGTGCGGGGGGGGGGGTTGCTGTGGTCTGAGTAAGGAATTGGCGGTGGTCGGCCCGCAGCCACGGCCGGGGTGTTGCGGAGACGGCGGCCAGGAGGGTCTCGGCTGTGGCTCACGCGGTCAGGGGCGCGTGTGCGACATAACAGGGGCGCCCCCTGTCGCGAACTCTAAGAGAGCTTTGTTTTGATAACATTTGGATACATCGTTATTTTTTAATTACGAAAACCGTATAATTGGAATGTTTTAGAATAGAATTAATCAGTTTTACTTACAGTTGATGAAGAGTGCATTAATATAGATAAAATCGAAAATTAAAAAAAGAAGAAAATGTACTTTTGAAATAATTTACATTTGCATAATTCTTTGTACACTAAGTAAGGTTGTGACAGAACATCTTAACCTGAAATATTAGTACATTTGGAGTATTAACCTTTCTTATATTACTTTCAAGCTTAAAATTATATTTCTATTCTATAAAGAAACGTTTTTAGTAATTTTACCGTTCGTTCATTAAGAAAAACATGACCATGAGCTGAACATTCAAGGCGTAATTTAGTGCATCAATACTTAGAAGTGCATTCTTTTTCATCTCTGCCATAGCCCTTAATATACGTTGTAAGAGAATATTACTCTTGTTCATTACTTCTTAAAAAGTATAAGCACTCAAATTTGCAAACTAAGCCCTAGAGTTGATAAATTAAGACTGAAGGAATAATTTTTACTTTCTACGCACATTGATGTCACATAATTCTTGAAAAAGTGGAGCTAAAATTAGGCAGAATTTGCAGAGAAACTCCATACCGGTACCATCAACGCTGCCGCACAAGCCTCTGCAGCAGTCTGCGTCCTCCGTCCTTCTCCGCCATGTCCTCTGCCTTTCTTCTGCTCCTGCTGGATTAGTTGCCCCTCCTTCCACCAATTCCGTCGTTGCCCGGAGGCAGAGAATTGTAAAGCGTGGCAGAAATTAAAATTATGGAGTTACACCAAACATCTATTATGCAAGAAGATAAAGATATATTTTACGAGAGTAAAGTATTACCTCACGGGCGGTGAAGTAGCGGAAGAGGTATCTTAATCGATAAGATAAAGTATCTTTATCGCCCTAAGTAATATTTGATTTGATTTTATGCCATTTGTTTTAGTAAAATACAAACAGACAATTATCAGGTTATACATTAGGTTCAATAATTTCCTATGCCATCTTCAGAAACATCTCGCTGCTAAACGTTTTTATCGCTTAGACATTAAAGATATACTGTAGAAGCCACATGTTAATAATCATTCATTAATCTTCTAGCTTTTTGAAGTTTTGAATGCCAAAGTCTAACTTTTCATGACGTTCAAAATGTTGATTGAGTCACAAGCAAACATTCACTTGTGTCAAATTCGTAACAATCGGGAATTTTTATTCTCAATTACTCGCCAACTTGGTTTCCGCGCGAGCTTGAGCGATCTGGAAAGGTAGTTAAAGTTCGCACCTTAGGCAGCAGTAATGATAGAAACCTCTTCTTATTAATAACATTTAGTCATCTATCTGTTTACTTATTTAAGATGTATTTACATTGTGCTTGAGAAACTTATCAGTAATATAAGACACGACAAGACGTATACCATCATAAGCAACACAACGCTATTCGTTGAAAAAGTTGACGTATCCGGATATGGCTATCTTTTAAACTTACATAATACCTCCTATATTTTTAACATAATTTATTTATTCTTTATTTTTACAAAACAAAGGACAAGCTGAAACATTTACCTCAATATAGAATCATGCGTTTTAAAAACTAATATTGGAATAATACTCAATATTGCTTTAATATGAAGCTTACATGTGGTTGCAAGAATGATAATGGCAAGCGCTATGTAGAGGGCGGGCTGGTAAGAAAGATAACAAATTAAATATTTATCAAAATTATTTTATTATTACAGTTAAAAATAAATCATACAAAAATATATTCCAATGAGTATCACTTGTATGAATGTTAATTAACAACAAAAATGCTGTTCAGCACTTATCCACAGCAAATAATAGGTAATGTGTGATATCCATCTCATGCAGATTGCGCGTTTTCATAGAAAATTCTGCCGTATTTTCAAAATAGTCTGCATTTTTTGGCCATTCTGTGGACGGGATGCTTCGAATGTTCAAGGATTTGTTCTATGAGCTTGGTCATCAACATTCCGTTTTCAAAATTTCACTCGAATAAATATTATATAGCACATACCACAGTATTATATAAAAGTACATACCACGTACTAATCATCTTTGTATTCGGCTGCTGTGCCTGAGAATAAGCTTTTGTCAACTGTAGTCACGAGAAGCAGTGTTACTGTACTTTTCTGCCCTTTAAAAGCACTCGCTGAAAACATGTCTCCACTTCATTGCACATCAAATTTTACACTATCCCCTTATTTGTTTATTGTTTGGGTTAACAAGGGTAGATTACGTCGTCAGAGAAGTTGTTGATATTACTTGTCAGTAGGCACTACTGGCGGTGTTAGAATATGGCAAATACGTTGTTGTTCAATGCCTGAGCTGTTCAAACTTGTTTATTAGTTCATCACCGTCATGGTCCATTTTCAGTTTTGCACCATATGAGCTGCTAATTTTGGGCTTCCATATCTGCCGCCAGGGACCGAGATAACAGCCTCAGTCGTTTTATCTGTTTCTCACGTCACTGTCTGTCTTAGTGAATATGGCATCTGATTACGATGGAAAATGAAGTAGAATTTATGTTTGCAGGGCATTTAGCCAGGGTTCTTTTCACAATCCGCAAGCGGGGCATGGTATGCTGAAAATCCATCGCTCCACTAGCCGGGTTTGAACCAACAAACTCTAATATTGGAAGCCTGAGGGTGACACGCTGAAATATCAGGCGCAGTGAAGATTGGAACGCGGTGTAAACATGCTAAAACATCAGTTTTTTATCTGCTATTTTTAACCCGTCATTGTTTGACAAGTGAACACCACGCTCACCTTCATTTTCAACTGTTTCTATTACAAGTTACAATAACAATAGATTTTTAAAACTTCGTTTAGCTTCCTAGACATGTATTAGAAGTACAGCAGTATAGCATCTCGAACAACTGCACATTCAGTTCCCAGCGAACCGTTGTTTTTGTAACTACTGTGTAAAAGTGTGCGCCGAACATACCTTTGATCATCTATTTTTGTGATTTATTTTTGTATTGCAATGTTTAGTTGCACCCACCAACATTGATCAAAACAGGGAAATACTCGATGTGTTTGTTATTATTGAATCTGAATAGCTTTTCTTCGGATTATCCTTCATGTTTACTCTTCCATTTTGTGTGTTTTTATAAACTAAGAGAAAACGCACTGAATTTGTCTTGTCTCTGGAACAAGTTTAATCGCTAACCCACGTGCACGTGGTAAATATAAGTATTCCAAGCCTCTGATTTTCAGGTGTAAAGAAAAACTGAACTGCGTTACCCTCAAAATCAAACATCGAGCTGCACTGAAGGGATTCTGAAGAGAAACAAATTGCTTTATACAATATGATTTTTAAGGTTTGATTTCATACTAAATGTTAGTCGTCATAAGTCATAGTGGTATTCCATAATGTTAGTTTTCAGAGAGAGCGAGAGAGAGAATATGAGGTTTCATTAAATTTTTATATTTGATAAGTGAGATACAGCAATCAAGAAGTTATATAATGAAATAATTAAATGTGCCTTTTTTTATTTCAAGAAGTAAAATGGGGAAACCACTCTGCGAATATACAATGTAACTGATATATGTCGAAAATACTGTTACTAAAGAAAAATATTCAAGTAATTTTGAGAACTAAAAAATATTTAGGCAACATACATTATACTTTTAATTTTTCTTAAATTCCCAATGTTGCAATTTTCTTTTGGTTTTTAAGAAATAAATATTATTTAGAAATAAAGTGTAAAAATTTACATTGGAAAGAAACTATGGGCGAGCGCAGAACGTATCTT